GGGAGGAGTATATTTATTTGTTTAATTTATTTAAGAATCTTACAAAAACAAACAAAAAAACCCAAAAACAAAAAACACAACAAAACTAAGTACAGAATTTGTTATGTTTCATGGTTGATCATTTTTACTTCTAAGAGTAAACCTTGGTAAATGCAGCCAATACATTTTTATTGCATGAGACCAACTTTTATTAGTACATATCAAAATGGCTGGAACAATCAATTCTGGACACTTGGTACTATGTTCCCAGGAAGGCTGAACGAAGCAGTGCAGTATCATTAGGACAATTCCAAACAGAGTAGCAATATAAAAGGAAATTTTAAAAAAAGAGAATGAAATAAAAATACACCGAAAGTTTACATCCACCTTTGTTTTAAATTGTCTTTGGATTCCATCAGATGTTGTTGTCTCAAGATGCACCATGTCAGATGAGTAAAGGAGGAAGATCTATACCTACATATAAAAGTATCCTCTGCTCAGAGGAGGTAGAACCTGGCAAAAGTTTTATTGCAGAGATACCATGTACCTCTTCCCACCTCTCATGGTTGATGATAGAAACAAGTGGTTATTTAAAAATAACATCAGTAGTTTGCAAATTCAGTATAAACCATGAACAGGATGACTTTTTTCCTGGTAGCGGTGAGACAGCAATGTGATACGTACAAAAAAAGCTCTCTCTGCCCCATAAAGTGGAAGTCAGAAAGAAGGCTCAAGCTTCTTTACCCTCTTCAGTGCCACAAATATTGTCATAGAAAGAAAGGCCCTGAGTGTTCACTGGCCAGCAACATCTGCTCAGGTACTAATGGGCTTCAGGGCAGGGTACTAGATTAAGGGCCCAGCAGTGAACAGCCAGGCAAGCCCTCAACAAGGGGCCTACAGAGTGACTTTCACCTTGAAGGAGGCCTAAATTGTGAGTATCAAAAAGAACCAACTTTCCCAGGCTTCCTCCCTTGCTCAGCTCTTGCACTAAACTGTATTCTTCACTGAACTGTGCCCTGTCACACTGCTCGGGCCAAGAGGCCACTGCTGCAAATCAAACGGTTCCATTTCTCTGGGGGGCACCAGAGGAAGAACACTGGGCAAGGAGGGTTTCAACAGAGGATTCACAGGGAAGGAATCTGTGACAGGCCCCGATTCATGAGATTTAGTTCCCAAGACTTATCCAAATGCAGACAGCTTTTAGATTCTCAACAAGTCTAGTCTATCAAGTTGAATAGTAATGAATGAAAATATACATGAACGAAAGGCTCAAGAAATGCTCACAACAATCCTTCCCAAAAGTTAGAAGAACATTTTCTTAATGGCAAAACCCAATGTGTGCCTCCCAGGTTAGATGATAAATACTATCATTCTCATGTACCACTCCTGAGTCTTCTCTAATAATTAAAAATGCCTTAATCTAGGTATGCAGCTGGTACAGTCAAGATGGATGGATTCCCCAGTACAAGCAGGGTGGAGAGCAGCAGTGCCTCAAGGCCTCCACAGGCTGGCCCTTCAGTGGGCACCTGCCTTATGCCTTCTGGCAGAAGTCAACCTGGGAGCCAAATGCTTAGGGAACTTTCACAGCAGCTGTGTTGCTCTCTTGTGGAGGACAACTGTTCCTTAATATATATTCTCTAAAGTCACCTGTCACTAATGCACCAAGCCTGTCTCCCACCTCTATACAGGGTCCATAAAGTTTGCATGCAATTTACTATGTTAAATTATTTAAAACTGCACACGAATTTTATAAGCCTCAATGGGTTCTAACAGAGCAGGTGTTACATGTGTTCATTACAAAGCAAATTTCTGCTTATTTGTAGGTTAAAAGAATAAGCCCAACTTCTTAAATAAACATAAAAATCTGTAGCAGGCCATAAACCCGTTTCAAATCTACAAGACTTCCCTGTCAGGTGAAAGTCAAAGACCAGGGGAGGGATTTGGTGCAAACTTGGAAAACCATAAGGGTAGGAGCAAGTTGGGTTTACTGCGCTCAGAGCCAATTTGATCCCAAACGCACTGAAGAAGTTAGAGGAGCTTAAAAAAGTTTTAGGAAGCAATTTTTCTTTTTAATGTGAAAACATCAGGCTCACTATAGCTTCCAAAGAACAACATAAATGAGCATAAACTGGTCATACAATGACAGCAAGCATCAGAAATGGCACTCAAGTGTTTTCCCCCAATACAATGCATTGCACACAATAAAAACTGTAATAAAAATGCAAAACATAGTCAGGCATGTTGAAAAATATTAACACAAAAACAGACAGGAATTCTATAGCAAAGATGCAAACTGAATTCTAAGACACAGAAACAAATTCAACTAAGAAATTTTTTTATACTTTTCTAAAAAAAAATAGTAGTAAGATGCCCCATATGGGGAAAGTCAAGAAAAGAATAAATAGAACTGGAGGGAAGAGGGAATAGAGGAAAGGAAAAAACAAGCGGGTAGGGTCTCAATTTACAGGAAATATTTACATTCAGAATTCAAAAGAAACCAACATTTCTATATATACACACTTATGTACATATATATAAATACAGCATAAAATTAGAAGGTAGGTTTTGGATTTAACCTCAAATACTTAGAAAAAAATTGCTAGCTAGTTTGAGTTGCAGGTATCTAAGTGTGTTTCTTTCACGTCAAAGACATTGCCTTTGTGTTACACAACTGGCATCCAATGAGAGGGTTTTTTTTTTTTTTACACTTTTTGCTCTCAGCTGCAGCCACAGCATGGCATGCTCGCTACATCTTAGCAGCAAGGCCAGCACATGCGCAACATGCACAGTTTGGTGTTAGAGAGACCAAAGACAGATTCTGCAATAAAAGACCTATTTTACATAAGTTAGCTGTTGACAGATGCCCATCAGCAATGCTCATGTAGCACCACTCCTTTGAAACTACCAAGTACCACTCAGATACATTTTTTAAATGAGAACACTTGAATAGGGACCTTCCTCTTAATCTCCGATCAAGAAAAGAATCCCTGGATAACTCCTGTCCCCCACTTCCTAGTGAGATGCAGGAATCATTTCTAATCTACTGGCCTTCTCCCTCATGCTACCATAGAAAGTGAAGGGGACAGGGAGAAGGCTCCTTCTTAACATGTCCTAGTGCCTTTTCCTCTGATAGTATCACATGGGAGACCAGCAAATGAATGCCCCAGGGGCTCTAGCCAGAAACTTGTGCATCTAAAATATAATCCTCTGGAGCTTGGTGATCTAGAACTTTTACTACTACAAATGAAACAAACTGTTGCAACTCAAAAAGGTTTCTGAAGTGCTAATTAAGTGAATTAGAATAAATAGATATATACACACGTATATACTACTACATTGCTTTGGATGCAGGTTCTTGGTAATTTTTATATACATATAAAGAGAAAATATTGAAGAGTATATCTGCAATTTAGCAGCAACAAGAAAAAATTGCTTAGCATCTACTTTTTTGATCAAGTTGTGTTTAGAGAAATCTATTAATAATACCTTTACAACTTTGTATCACTGATAGCACATATGGCTAATCCCACTACACTGCAGACAAAAGTCCTTGGTATATGGAGATTGCTAAATTAGGGGCACACTAATTCCCCCACAGATAACATCTGAGCAGCTCTGGACTCAGGAAGTGGTTTTCAATACAATCAATATTGGAAACTCTGAAAACACTAGCATGATTTCCAATCAAATCTTTGTGCTCAGAGCCATATTGCTAAAAAGGGAGAAAAGGCATAGTGGAGGCCAAATGGACTAACATAGGACAAAACAAGGCCTCTGGATTCTGATGTGGCATTTAGATTCTGCAATAAAAAGACCTATATTTTATAGAAGTTAGCTGTTGACAGAAGGGGACCATGAATGCTGGGATTTCTTGTGGTGGTGGAACTGAACTTGCTGACTTTTTGTAAGGACACAGTGTAAAGGTCGGATGTCCACCTCCAGAGGGGGTGGGGTGCACCGTGACATGGGCAAGCAGTATCTCAGCCCTAGTCTGTCCACACCAGTAGCTTTTTGAACTACACTTTGAGAAGGCTTTCAGAGGCCTTATTTCTTTAAATAAACAACAAGAAGCTGTGTCTACCCCCCAAAACAGTAACAGAAACAACAAACCCCCCCCCCCAACAACAACATACGTAGGCCCCTCTGTATCAAGATGGCTATTCCAGAGCAAGCATTGCACCTGAACTAGTTGGCGTGGGGGCTGGTCACTTCACTGCATGCTAAAGAATCCTCACTCTCACGCTGCTTTGAAAACACCATAAAAAACCACAACCTGCTAAAAAAGATACCCTCTCACACTCCCACACAGAAAGGGGAGCTGGGGTAACAGCCTCTGAGAGAATACCTTTTACAGCTCTGCCATCCTGTCTCCTTGGAGGAAGGGTTGTATGCTGCCCCTTCTCCGGTCTGGCAAGTTCACATAAGTGTGCTGATGGAAGCTCACTAGATCACAGCTTAAAACTAGAAGAACTAATTGGGAAGTTTTGTTGAAGTTCTACAAAGGTGACAGTCTGCTCCTGGCTGTCAGCTAGGTCTCGCGGTCCTAACAGGGAACGTTTGCTGATAGACAATGGATCACTGCCTGAGATACATGAACTGGATTGAGGATAAAAGGTTGCATCCACTGGGCAAAAGTGCCAAAGAACAGAAATTATTCTCAGTTTGTTCCTTTAGGCACCAAGAATAAGTAAACCCAAAGAAAGCTTATGGTAAACTCAGGCTAAAGAAACACAGAGGATGAAAGCCCTAAGCTTTCCTTCAGTTTTTTGTCAGTTAGCATCCATCTCATCTAACTCTGCGAGAAGTTTTAAAAGATATAAAGGGAACAATTCACCTTGAAAAACATTCAAAGGTACCTTCATTTTATCCCTTCCTCAATACCATCTCAAATGTTGGGGTAGCTTTTAAGCCAGACTACAAGGCTAGCTGGGTGCTAACGCAGCACCCAGGCATTGGAGAGGCCCCAGCATAGGGTACTTCTGAAGGTCACCAGTGGGGCCTAAACAAGAGTCCACTTCTTGTTAGTATAATAATTTTTTATTTGACATCTACAAGATGCTGATATCTTGCAGCTTTTGACCAGGTTTATACAATCTCAATTTTTTAATAGTGCAACCTGTGCAAGCAAAACCCCCCCCCCCCACAAAAACACAAAAAAACAAACCAGAAAAAGAAAAGACCAACTGTCCCCTCACTTGTTTTTATAAACATCTATTATAGGCGAAACAAAACTTACCCATATTATAGATAAGTGTCTATTCACATTTGTACATTACCATTTTAAACAGCTTGAGATACAGTCTACAATGCCTTAGAACACATTAAACAATATTCAAGTTACTGGGTAACAATAACAACATTAACAAAAAACATACAGCAGAAGCCTCAAGTGTTTCCTCACTGCCTAGTTTACAACTCAAGAAGGTTTCCTTTTTGTGAGTAACAAAGCAAACTAAGACAATGAAGAAAGGATTGTTTGTGAGATGAAATCCAATTTGTATTTTTTTCCCAAAACTATGTTTAAGTTGAAAACATTAACTTTGAGGCTTATAGCCATTTTTGCAGCACACATTAGGAATATTATCTATACATTAAAATTAACTTTTAAGAGTTTTTAATCACAAAAAATGTACATACTAATTACCTTGACAAGAAACCTAGGGCAGGGAGGAGAATGGGGGAGGAGTTTGCAGGGTTAGAAGCAATACCCAGGTATAAACACTATAAAAATGCAATAACCAATGCTGTACACCTACAAATGTTTCTCTCCATTACTTGACTTCTGTATTAATCTGTTTACGCATGCTTTCAAAGACATGCACTGTCAGAACAAAAACTAGAAAAGAACCCGAATGCATGATATGCAACCTTTCATTTCATGCTTTAATAAACCTATTAAGTTGGAAAAAGAAACCAATATATATTTTCTATATTTATAGGCTCAAAACACATGCATCTAAGGAGAAATCTTACAGCAATGGCATGGATGTACTGCATTAACCCTGAGCACTGTATAACATAAAAGTAAAGCCCATTTGGGAAGTTCCAAGCATTTTAAACCAACTCTGGTTTGTAGCCTTAATAAACTCACAGACAGACAGACACACCCACACGCACGCACACATCCCCCTCTGCTTACCCAAAGTAAAAGCATATGGGAGGTACCAAGTGAAAAGCAAAAGGAAAGACATATGTACTACCATCGGTACTGCTGATTTTCAATTTTGCTATCTATTCCAGGTTTGTCCTTACTCCCAAAAAATTAACTAGAGAGCACAACTGAAAAAAATATATAATTCTTTGGAAACTGTCCCTGATTTTTATGCAAATGATATGCTTCAACAGCATTTCAGATACATCTATGTTGAAACCTGTCTGTTCTTTATGCATTGCTCAAGTTGGTGATGCTCTGCGGATGATGCTGTTGCCATAGCTGTTTCTGTTGGACTGCAAGCTGTTGAGACTGGTCTGAAGTTGATAGGAGATTTATAAGAGGAGACACACAATTTGCTGGAATGATCAAACCTGTAATTAGTAAAAAGAATTTATAAACTTGTGTCCAGTAGAAACTACACTGTTTTTTGCAGCTTCATTCCAAATGAGGTGTGATATTAAGCATAGTGAATAAGAACTTCACATAAAGATTAACATGGGTACTTAATAACTGAAATAGCTCACTGAGACGTAATGTGACTCTTCAACAGTGGTCCCCACAAGTACCCGGTGCACGTCTCTAGTGTAATGCCATCTTCATAGTAAAGGCCCAGCACAGAATTTTTCTATCTACTATCTTTGCAGCTTGACAAACAAATGCAAATACCACCTTGTGTGTCATATGCTAATACACCAAAAAGACTAACGTTGCAAATGCAAATGCTTATGAAGCAGGTGATCCTGAAGTTGATACAGAGAAGATAGTACCAGACTGGAAAGCCCTGCAAAAGGAACTAACTCCTGCTATGAGAGAATGTGAGCTCAATGTTCCAATTCACAGCACTTTTTGTTATTTAAAGAAATCTAGGGTGATGCCTGTAGCTCAGTGGGTAGGGCACCAGCCCCTTATACCAACGGTGGTGGGTTTGAACCCGGCCCCGGCCAAACTGCAACAAAAAAATAGCCAGGTGTTGTGGTGGGCGCCTGTAGTCCCAGCTACTCAGGAGGTTGAGGCAAGAGAATCGCCTAAGCCCAAGAGCTGGCACTCTACCGAGGGCGACAAACTGAGACTCTGTCTCTAAAATAATTTTTCTATTTTTAGTAGCGATGGGGTCTTGCTCTTACTCAGGTTAGTCTTGAACTCCTGAGCTCAAGCAATACGTCCTTCCATCTCAGTCTCCCTAAGTGCTAGGATTACAGGTAGGAGCCAATGTATCTAGCCAGAAATCCAGAATTCTATACAAAACTTCATTTTTAAAAGTTGGCAACTAATTCAAATGAAAACTTGTGACAACAAAACATACTTGAGGGTCAAAAAATAGAGAGAGGAGCCAGAGCCCATTGCTCCAGCCTAGGAAAAGTGGGAAGTCTTCACTGGGACCCCTATCATGCTATTTCTTTTCTTTTTTTTTTTTGAGACAGAGTCTACGTTGCCCTCAATAGGGTGCCTGCAGCATCACAGCTCACAACAACCTGTCACTCTTGGGCCTTCCCTGCCAAGAAGCTGGGACTACAGCTGCTAGCCACAACGCCTGGCTTTTTTTTGTTGCAGTTGTCATTGTTGTTTTACCTAGCCTGGGCCGGGTCCAAACTTGCCAGCTGTGGTGTATGTGGCTGGTGCCATAACCACTGTGTTAGGGGCCCCGAGCCCTATCATGTTATTCTAATTAGATGGGGGTGTGATACTGGGGGCAGACTCCAGAACAACCACTGGGTCTTACATCACCATTCGAGTGATGGATGAATGAACTGACTCTTATTCATGATCGCATTTTTTTGCTGCTGCTCAGGCTCAGCAGCTAAGACCCAAGCAGTAGGTGACGGTCTCATTTATCAGCTTGTTTTCTGCAGCACTGAAGTGAATGAGCCTCCATTCGTGCACATGTAGCCAGCTTACTAGCAGAAATTATTGTTGGCTGAGACCCTTAAGCAGGAGGGTAGGTGTATTCAGTGCCCATCAGAGGTATAATGGTAAGAAAGTCCTTTACCATTGGAGCCTCTGGGAGCGCCTATATTTGGCAGTGTTGATGCTACTTCTTGGAAGGCATGACCAAGGAAGACTGTCTACAATTCATGGCCAATGCTCTGGCTTTGGCCATAGAATGGGATGGCTCAAGTGGAGGAGTGATATGCCTGGCAGCCATTGCAAAGTCAGGCAGGGGTAGAAGGGCTGATACTTTTGGGAGACCAGATACCTAAATTCACCACTGCCACCTTACCACCTTCTTGAACCCTGGGATTCTAGAATGCAGTAAGGATATCCTGTATAGACACAAAATTTAATAAAGTTGGTTGAAGAGGACAGAAAAAAAGTTCATGGGCTGACTCTTGCTGCCAATCTGCAATCCAAAATACAGAGGCGGACTGCTGTAAATGAAACAAAGACAAGCAAGCAGGCAGAGTGCAATAGCTGGCCCGGTTCCTGAGACACCTACAGTTAAGCACTCAGTGGGAACAGCTAGCCTAGTCTGCCCCTATCCCCGCAGGACACTGAGCCATCCTCTGTACATAGCAGCATTAGAATTCCATAGTCTCAAGCTGGCTCAATAGAGAACCCAGGGCAAGAGGCTGAGCTGTCTTCACATCAGGGAGCCTGTACAGATAGCAATAGTCAGGAAAGGGAGCTGGAGCAGCTGAGAGAACATCAGAAAGATGAGGGCATCTTAACTTCAGCCAGAACCAACAATGTCTGTTCAAAGGCTTAACTTCTATTCTACCTTCTAAGAACATACAGAGCAAGCTCCATAGCCACTACTGGAATAGATGTTAAATGGATCTGAAATCAAACTTACACATTAGAAACACAGTGATGAAGAAGCAGGATCTGATCCCCTCAACACAAACCAAAGCAAAAATTAGACTCACCTACAATCCGTTGTCCATCTTCTGTTCGTAGCCGAACTATCTGCATTTTCACATTTGTGCCACTGACAGATGCTAGAACACCCTCAACTTTTGTCCAAACACTCAGTACTGAGCCACATAATACATAATATGTACGGCAACGCAGACCTATTTCACAAACTAATCCCAAACTTGCTTTTTTGCAATTGCCACGCCTAAGAAAGACGGGAGAGGAAAAAAAAGATTTATGTATGCATGCACATATATAATATACACACACACTTCCACAAACACATTATCATATAAGGTTCAAAGACCCAAATAAAAAGACCCAGTAAAAAACTTCTAGCATTATTGGCCTTTACTGTTTCAAACTTCTAGCATTATTGGCCTTTACTGTTTCCTGGATTATAATCCTTTTAGCATATTGGATTCTCCTTCCAATTTTTAAAATACGGGGTGTTTTTAGAGACCTGCCTTCCTATAAAGATCTGATTTATCAGTTTTCATTTCCACTGCAACATTTTTTTTTTTTTTTAAAGACAGAGTCTCACTCTGCTGCCGAGGTTAGAGTGCCATGGTGTCAGGCTAGCTGACAGCAACCTCAAACTGCTTGCGTTCAAGAGATCCTCCGGCCTTAGTCTCTGGAGAAGCTGGGAATATAGGCGCCTGCTACAATGTCCAGCTAGTTTTTTTCTATTTTTAGTACAAACAAGGTCTTGCTCAGGCTGTTCCCAAACTCCTAAGGTCAAAAGGGATCCCATGGGGGCGGCGCCTATGGCTCAGTGAGTAGTGTGCTGCCCCAACTGATGGTGGCGGGTTCAAACCTGGCCCTGGCCAAACTGCAACAAAAAAAATAGCTAGGCATTGTGGCAGATGCCTGTAGTCCCAGCTACTTGGGAGGCTGAGGCAAGAGAATTGCCTAAGCCCAAGAGCTGGAGGTTGCTGTGAGCTGTGACACCACAGCACTCTACCAAGGGTGATAGAGTAAGACTCTGGGCTTGGCACCTGTGGCTCAAGTGGCTGGCTAAGGCACCAGCCACATACACCTAAGGTGGCGGGTTTGAATCCAGCCTGAGCCCACCAAACAACAATGATGGCTGCAACCAAAAAAAATAGCCAGGTGTTGTGGCAGGCACCTGTGGTCCCAGCTACTTGGGAGGTGGAGGCAGGAGACTCGCTTGAGCCCAGGAGTTGGAGGTTGCTGTGAGCTGTGATGCCACGGCACCCTACCCAGGGGGACAGCCTGAGACTCTGTCTCAAAAAAACAAACAAAAGAAAACCAAAGTAAGACTCTGTCTCTTAAAAAAAAAAAAGCGATCCTGCTGCTTCAGCTTCCCAAGAAATAAAAATGTGAGCCACTCATTGCAATATTTTAGCCATTTTATTTATTTACTTTTTTTTTTGGTAGAGACAGGGTCTCACTTTATCGCCCTCAGTAGGGTGCCGTGGCGTCACACAGCTCACAGCAACCTCCAACTCCTGGGCTTAGGTAATTCTTTTGCCTCAGCCTCCCGAGTAGCTGGGACTACAGGCGCCCGCCACAACGCCTGGCTGTTTTTTAATTGCAGTTCGGCAGGGGCCAGTTTCAACCCGCCACTGTCAGTATATGGGGCCGGCACCCTACTCACTGAGTGATAGGTGCTGCCCGATTTTAGCCATTTTAAATCCATCATCTTACTGTAGGAATGTTAGCTTATAAAATGATCCTGCCTTGAAAAAAAAAACAAACCAACACCTGTGAAAAGGAGAGATAAAGATTGTTAGTTATTTCTATATCATCAAACTACCAACACAGTGTTCTAAATCAGATTAGTAGGAATGGTCTCAGTAACAAAAATATATATATATCAAAAAGTGGGGAGGCTTTGAGTCCATCTCTCCCCCATTACAAGACTGTTGCAGTGATACCTCTACATAGAGATACTGACTTAAACTTAGAAAATGAGAAAAGGGAGACACACTACCATTTTACGGTAAAATTATTTTCATAATTCATCAATAAAAACATCCTTTCTAGGTGTTACCTCTAGGTTGGCGGGTTCAAACCCACTCTGGGCCTGCTAAACAACGACAACTACAACCAAAAAATAGCTGGGTGTTGTGGTGGGCACCTGTAGTCCCAGCTACTCAGGAGGCTAAGGCAAGAGAATAGGTTAAGCCCAAGAGTTTGAGGGTGCTGTGATGCCACAGCACTCTACAAAGGGTGACATAGTAAGACTCTGTCTCTAAAAAAAAAGTCCCTTCCTGGGCCAGGCACAGTGCTTTTATCCCTGTAATCCTAGCACCCTGGAAAGCTGAGGGGTAGATGGCCTGAGCTCACGAGTTGAAGACTAGCCTGAGCCAGAGCCAGACTTCTTCTCTAAAAATGGCCAGGAGTTGTGGCAGGCACCTATTATCCCAGCTACTTGGGAGGCTGAGGCAAGAGAATCGCTTAAACCCAAGAGTTTGAGGTTGCTGTGAATTGTGAACCCACAGCACTCAGGGTTACAAAGTGAGACTCCATTTAAAAAAAAAAAAGAAAAAGTCCTTTCTGGTCAATGTTAATTCAAGATGAATTTATATTATTTTATTTTTTTGAGACAGAGTCTCAGTTTGTAACCCTCGGTAGAGTACCATGGTGTCATAGCTCACAGCAACCTCAAACTCTTGGGCTCCAGTGATCCCCTTGCCTTAGCCTTCTGAGTAGTTGGGACTACAGGTGCCTGCCACAACACATAGCTATTTTTAGAGATGGAATCTCACTCTTGCTCAGGCTGGTTTTGAACTGGTGAGCTCAGGTAATCCATCAGCCTCGGCCTCCCAGAGTGTTAGGATTATAGGGGTGAGCCACCTCGCCTGGGCTAAGATGAATTTAATACACAGTATTAAATGTACATGTATAGGTCAGACAAGGTGGCTCATGCCTGTAATCCCAGCACTTTGGGACACTAAAGTAGGATAGCTTGAGGCGTAGGTAACACAGTGAGACCCTGTCTCACTTTGTCACCCTCAGTAGAGTGCCGTGGTGTCACAGCTCACAGAACCTCCAGCTTAGGCGATTCTCTTGCCTCAGCCTCCTGAGTAGCTGGGACTATAGGCTACAATGCCCAGGTATTTTTTGTTGTTGTTGCAGTTTTCCCAGATTTGAACCCACCACTCTCAGTATGTGGGGCCAGTGCCCTACTCACTGAGCCACAGGCACCACCCCCCAAAATTTTTTTAATTTACAAAAAAAAATTGTTTAAAAAATTAGTTGATGGCTTGGTGCCTATAACACAGTGGTTATAGTGCCAGCCACATACACCAAGGCTGGTAGGTTCGAATCCAGCCTGGGATGGCTAAAACAACGACAACTTCAACAAAAAATAGCTGGGCATTATGGCGGGAGCCTGTAGTCCCAGCTACTGAGAGGCTGAGGCAAGAGAATCGCTTACGCCCAAGAGTCTGAGGTTGCTAGGAGTGGATGCCACAGCACTCTTCTGAGGGAGCGCCCCCCAGTGAGACTGTCTAGGTGGGGGTGGGAAGATTAGTTGGGTGTGTGCTGGCAACTAAAATCCCAGCTATTTAGGAGGGTAAGGCAGCAGGATCTCTTGAGTCTAAGAGTTGGGAGTTATAGTGAGCTTATATTGTGCCCTACACTACAGCTTGGGTGACAAAGACTCTGTCTCTTAAATTAAAATAATGTATAGGGTACTTTTCTTGCTATAACTCAAACACAATGTTATAGAGAACTTTTATAGGTTAACTTTTTTTTTTTTTTTTTTTGGGAGACGGAGCCTCAAGCTATCCTCCTGGGTAGAGTGCCATGGCATCACGCTCACAGCAACCTCCAACTCCTGGGCTCAAGCGAGTCTCCTGCCTCAGCCTCCCAAGTAG